CCTACAAACGAGCCCTGTAAACCTTAAGCCCAACAGAGCATAGTCTTCCCGAAGCCGGTGCGAAACTCTCGTTGGTGCCTCTGGTTCATGAGACACACGAACCCTAGAAAATCCCCAGGTGCCAGACAGGTTAGCCCCGTTTCGGTCTTGAGGGCAGGGTGTAGGAACTTTGGGTGATGGGGTACGACCGCCAGTATTTAGCGCTTAGAGCTTATGGCTATTTGTGATGGACTTAATATGCACAGTTTGAGGGCTTTCGGGGGTTTATACCTATAGTCTCCTTTGTAGGTCCTCTTTGTTAACCAAATATCTTATAGCATAGGATCCCAACCGTCAAATTGGGTTTAGAGGTGTTTGATCAAGACACCCGAGAAGTCGAGCAGGCAACCTGTAAATTTTGGGTAGTATAGCCCCTGTAAAAACCCTATATAACCCAAAAAGATTAACCTTCAAGTAAGACACAGCTAGCGGCCACCTAGGCCCAGCGCCGGAGATGCAGAACCGCTTGAAGCATGGCCTGGCCAAGGCCATGGGCGTCAGAGGCTCAATGGTTGGAGGATTTAGGGTTGAGGGTTTAGGGTTTAGGGGTTTGGGGTTCAGGGTTTGGGGTTCAGGGTTTAGGGTTTAGGGTTTAGGGGGGATGTACGAGACTTAATGGTTCGAAGTTGTTGAGTGCCGAGGCCTATCTACGCTCCGAAGTCGAAGCCCTGAAGACCAACTTGTCACCCTAAGGGTCCAAGTACCCAATAATCATAGACTCTCCCAAATATTACACTACATAACTACTATCCCAAACCCAAGTACCTGATTACTGGGTCCTTTGGACCCTTCGGGTCAGTCCCTAAAGCCCTAAGCGACTTGAGACCTCCGATATTTCTGACCCTTCAACCTCTAGGGCCCAGAGTAGGCCCTTATTCCCTTTTTTTGGGTTCGGTTCCCTTCTACGCCCCTTCCAACCAAAAAAGGGCACGCTTTTTATTCCCAGGTTACTCTTGGGTCTAGACCTTAAACTCATTCCCGACACTCAAGCCGTGACCCACTTACTGCGTCAAGGGATTTCGCAAGTAGGGCTACTTTTTCGGAGGGCAACTACACGACCATAGCTCAAGAACGGTACGTATAGCCCCTCTTACAGTAGTATCCTTTATCCCTAAGGCTCAAAATAGCCCAAAAGCCTTGTAGAGTATGGTCTTAGGGCCCAAAAAGCCTTAACATATTAGCCTTTAGAGCCTAAGGGCAAGTAAAGGCTCCCGAGGCCGATCGAAGGCCTTGGAAAAGCCTCGGTTCGATCCTGCGGAAAGCCTCAACGTACCCTACAGTAGAAGCCGAAAAGTTGCCAGCACTATTTGGCCTCAATCCGGTTTCCAACTTTATGGGGTTTGCTGAAAGCCCTTGAAGACCCTAAACTCTTAGGCCGAGACCCTAAACCCTAAAGCCTTTGCGGTTTGTCTCTTAGGTGCTTCGTCGCGGAGTCTCCCGTGTTACAGACAGGCCAGGAAGTGAATTTCGGAAGTTCTACCTGCAGGTTCATGATGTTCATGGGCCTTAGGAAGTGCGGTGACGAGAGTAAAGTAACCTGTAGTTGCGGTAGTTGCCTTACTTAGAGCCTAAACCCTAAACCCTAGCCCTTCCCCCGGTCTTTTAGGAATGGTTCCCGGAGGGGCTTACTAGCTTGGCACAGGTTTACGTCCAGATGCCGTTGCCTAGAGGGACAAAGTTTTAGGGACCCAACAAGCAGATAAGCATAAGCATTTTACGGTGATATCCCTGCCTTATTGGCCTTCCTTTTTGAGGGGTTTATATGGGATATCCCTATCCTTATTTTTGCTTATGTGCTTTCCTGGGGCCCTAATAATTGATTGGGACCACCACCGTGCTGTTTACTTTTGCGCAGGGGCTCATATGGAAGGCTTCCGTCGGCTTTCCTATTAAATCTGCATTATTGTTTTCACGAAGCCCTGTTCTAATTTCTGAGACTCCTGTCTTCCGAAGAGCAACACCCTAAGGGTCCAAGTACCCAAGTAGTATATCCTTTGGCAACAAAGTACCTATATAGGGATTACTTTAAAGGCCAAAGCATATGGGAGTTTCCGAAAATGAGAGTACCTTATTTTGGGGGTGCTTATAATAAAGGATCCTACTATTTAAGGTACTACATTAGGGGTCCCTTATTTCCAGAAACTCCCATATACTATTTGGGTACATGGACCCTTAGGGACAGGGCCTCTGCCGCCTGCAGCTTCGCGTTTCTGTTGTGGTTCTAAGCCCAGCTGCTCGATTACTTATCTTCAAAGGGAAAAAGGAGGGACCATTAATGGGGACCCCTACCCTATAATGGGCTATATAATGGGTATATAATAGCTATAGTAAGGGTATATACCTAGGGGTCCTTATTAGGGGTCCCTCCTTTTCCCCTTTGATATCGTGTGGAGCCCTTCACCTACTATTTTGAGGGTTACACCCTTCAACATCTATGGGGCATCAAGGGATAATACAGAAGTGGTCAACCTTCTGTTGTGTAGGGTTTGGGACAACAGGAAATGCAGACACCTCGTTCAGACTGGATATGCGCGTATATCTGTGTCTAGGATGCCCAGCATTACCCTTATTCCCTTTTTGCAGTCCCAGGCTCCTTATAAAGCTACCCAATACCAACCGCGAGCCCTTGTTTTCCGAAGTTACTGGGCATCCAAGGTGTATACAAGCATAACCTTGGGGACCAAGTAGGGGCCCTATACCCTTATGCTATGAATCCCTATATAGTATATGAACCTTAAACCCTTTTGAGGTTCATTTCCTCCTTAAGGAAAGTACGATGAAGACCCCTGTGCCAACGCCCAAAAGTCCCGAAACTCCACTCCAAAACCGTTGCTCCGACAATGGAAACTCCAATAGTATAGTATAGTACAGCACAGTATAGCATAGTAGAGTAGAGCAGAGTAGACTATAGCATAGTGTATGCTGAAGACACATGAATATAATGCAGTATGCAATATATATATATATATATATATATACTATACTATACTATCGCATGCTATGGTGCGATACTCTGGTATGACAATGACAATACCCTGGAGAGTGTCGCAGGGCTCTGGATACAATGCCCCCAAATCCTGTCTCTCTACCCTACGAAATTTGAGCTTGATCTGTTTCCCGAAGATGGTAGCCTGCAATATGGGTAGGCGGGCTTCTAGAATCCTAAACCCTAAGCCCTAAACCTAAACGGACCTAAACCCTAAACCCTAAACCCTAAAAGCCCTTCCTTAGCCTCTTTCCCTTGTCTGCCGCAAGGCTTGGCCGGCCGAAGTTGCTGGCCAGCCCCTTCAAAGTGAGCTTGCCGTGGATGTAACTTGCGGTTGATGCTATAAATCCTGCATTACCCATAATAAGGAATAGATGGGAATTATGGTATATTCCTCATTATGGGTCATGCAGGATATATATCATCAACAGTTGTAGCCCCTTCATAACTGTAATGCTACACTAAAATGCACTCACACCTAGGTTCGGATTACGCAGGTTCCACCAGTTGACGCCTGCGACGTCAATCCAAAGCCTAAGGAGTCCAGGTATTATGGTTTCAGGTCCCCGTTTGGCAGAGAACCAAAGGGGAAAAGGAGGGACCCTTAATAAGGACCCCTAGGTAATATACCCTTAATATAGCTATTATATACCCATTATATAGCCCATTATAGGCTAGGGGTCCCCCTTAAGGGTCCCTCCTTTTCCCCTTTGAGCTAACACCCCACTGCTCCGCTTGTGGGACCCTTGAAAAATCACCTACTCAAAGCACCCAACCCCCTGCACCTCCAAGCAATCGATGCTCTGTCGCGCGGATGGGGCTAAAAAGAGTGAGTTCATGTCAGGCTCCCGATTGAAGAATGTGCGTGTGGGGCTCAATATCTTGAGGCAGAGGCTCAACATATATAGCCAGCTCGAGATGGTCCATGTCGGTGTAACATAGACATCATTCGTGTGACTCGTAGCAGGTACAACTAGGATCGATTGCCTGTGTAAAGTGTAACGATCCCACACGCCTAGACACGGCCCAAAAGGTGTGCAGGGCCAAGGATTTACCCGGGATTCTAGCCCCCGAACCTTCCGGTACAAGGCTTTGGACGCTCGACCAAAACTTCCAACAAGGACCCTCAACCGCAGATTGCTCGAGCCTTAAACCCTCAGCCCTAGTGAAACCGAAAGCCCTCCTACACCATCTAGCCCCGAACCCCCCAGCCCGAACCCCAAGCCCTCAACCCTAAATCCTAAACCCTGGCCCTAAGCCCTAAACCCTAAACCCTAAAAGTTCTAAACCCTAAACCCTGGCCCTAGACCCTAAACCCTAAACCCTAAAAGTTCTAAATCCTAAACCCTGGCCCTAGACCCTAAACCCTAAGCCCTGGCCCTAAGCCCTAAGCCCTAAACCCTAACAGTTCTAAACCCAAGCCCGAATCCCAAGGATCCAAACTCGCAAAGAGTCGGGCCAGTAGGGTTCCCAGCTCCAACTGCTATACTTAGGGGCAGTTAGAAATAATTTTTAATTTTTGGCTACTATAATCCCTAAGAAACAGCTAAATTAGAATTTTTTTTCCCAGGGTTCTAAGTTCAGTATAGGCTAGCTCCAAATGGCCCGCTCATAGTGAAACCTCACAGTTTAGGTTACTTGGAGCTTCCGGGTAAGAAATATACGGGCCTGAAGAATTACTAGGACTTTAGGGTTTAGGGTTTAGGGTTTAGGGTTGCCAAGAAAGATCAATTGTGAATGCTTCTATTCTAAACCCCCCAAATCCCATAATGCTCTATTTCTCGCTTCTGGAGTGCCATACGGACCCGTTTCTTCAAGATACGTCTAGGGAATCCAAGTCTAAGTCTATACGCGGTTCTCCTTGGTTACTTCACCCTAAACCCTAAACCTTAAACCCTAAACCCTAAAACCCTAAACCCTAATCCCTAAACCCTAAACCTTAAACTTTAAACCCCAAAACCCGAAGTTCTCCAAGGCTTCCTCTGTACACTTCCGTGGCGGCCGGATCCCCGAAGCCAATGCGGAGTTGCAGTTTAGGGTTTATAGGGTTTATAGGGCTTATAGGGTTTATAGAAGAAGCCCAAAGACTCCAATAGCCTTAATTAAGGAATATTCCTTAAATCATATAAGGGATCCTACCATAATTTAAGGAATATTCCGTAATTAATAGGGGCTTTTTTCGGGTTTGGGCTTTGGGTTGCAGGCTTCGGCGGGTTTGGCAGTTAGTGTCTCGGGCTCGTCCGTTTAGGCATGGGATCATGGAAGAGGGGCGGGCATCGGCCTTAGATGGTTTAGCATAGGCTTCCTTTATGGGTTTAGTATACGTAGTAAGTAAGGGTTTAGGATCTACTCACGTGAGGCCTGTTTCGCAAGCTTCTGTTTAGTGACTTTATACAGGCGTTTCAAGCTTAATGACAATGCCAATTACGCGCACCTTCAAACTGTAAAACCTTAGCTTCAAAACAGGAGCAATTGAGAGGTTTTTGGCTGCAGGGACACGCTACCGGGTAGTTCGAGGAGGTTGCAACTCGCTCTCTGGTACATACTCAGGCCTCATCCAGCTTCTTCATGCTGATTTCTTTTTACCCGGTATGTGAAGACATAGGCCGGAAGGCGCAGGCATGAATGAGAACACCGAAGCTTCAAGGAACCCAGCCGCCGGATTATACCTCGATAGTACCTCTTATAATATCCCTTATATAGAACCCTTTTTGCAAAGCCTTTGAAGGAACCCTATTCTAATATTCTGATCAGTAAGGCCAAGTACGTAACTATCACATATATCCTCCGACATAGTAACCTACTACCCTAAACCCAAGTACCTAATTACTGGGTTCTTTGGACTTTTCGGGATATAGTCCCAAACTATAGTATAGTATATACTTTGGGGGCCCAAATACCTACTAAGTGCCTACTATAGTGCCCGATTTTAGATCCCCAACCCCAAACCCCAAACCCTAAACTCCAAACCCCAAACCCTAAACCCCAAACCCCAAACCCTAAACCCCGAACCCCAAACCCCTAAACCCTAAACCCTAAACCCAAACTCCGGCGACCTCTCAGACCACCTTCGCGGACCTGCACGACCGAGCGGGACGAATGAAGGCGAAGAACGTCATCCGCGACAGCATCGACTGGACTCCGCGGGGTTTAGGGTACCTTATTTTGGGGTCCTTGGGGTTCCTCTAGAGGGTTACTATAATGGTACTATAAGGGTTCTATAAAGGGTTTAGGGTTTAGGGGCTTAAAGACTTAGGTGTTTAGGGTTCAGGATTCATGAGGGTTTTCGGGTTTATGTGGGATGTTCAGGGTTTGGGTTTAGGGTTTAAATTAGGGGTCAAAGAGTAGCTGAGAGTAGGTTTCGTGCTTCAGGGATGAGGGTTTTAGGTTTGAGGCTTCGTCGGGATTTGGGGTTCGAGCAGAGCCATAAAAGTCGTGCTCACCCAATAGCAATAGCAAGGTGCACGTTTTGGGCTCGAGCATTTGCGGCTGCTGATGATTTAGGGTCTTGCGATTTGAGGGGCTTTGGGTGTTAATGAAGGGTTTGGCAGCTTTATGACTTCCGGTTTGTAGGGCTTAAGGGCTTTGAACTTAAAGGGGGTAGCGAGTTAGGGCCTTCCTTCGGGTCTTAGGGTTTGGGTTTGTAGGTCTGTAGGGTGAGCCGCGAGCGGCTGATGATATAAATCCTGCGTTACCCCTAATAAGGAATATATGGGAATTATGGTATATTCCTTATTATGGGTCATGCAGGATTTACATCATCAACCGTAGTAAGTAGTAGGCCAGAAGCCGCCAAGCCAAACCTCAAAAGCCTTCGCACACTGAAGTCCAGGCCCAAGCTCGTCCTCAACCTCGCAACTCTGTTCTAGCTATCGATTGGGTTTACGGGTTTATAGGGTTTGGGGTGTAGGGTCTGTAGGGAATTGTAAGTGTTTAATGAAGAGCCCTGCTTATACATAATATTGGCGACTGTTGAAACCGACACGTCTTCTGAACAGTGGAAGCTCAGGAAGTCGATCTGCACATGTTTCAAAGTCCCCAGAGACGAACTGTATGTGTAAGCTTGCCATAAGTCGGTGCAGATCCGCGCAGATCCGAACAAATCCTTTTCAACCCTACGCATCCTAAAACCCGTAAGCACCCTGAATACTCTAAACCCTTGCCGACCTTAATCCCTTAAGCAGAAATACCCCAAAAATTTGGCATGCATCTCAGAGCTTGCAATCCTTAGGCCCCGCGCTTTTGCGTCCCAAGCTCCCATCAAAAAAACAGCAACCCCAAAACGCTAAACCGGAGATGGCCTGTTTTGGGTCCGAGCATCTTTATTTCAGGTTGTGCTGAGGCTTTAGAGTATTAGGGCGGGCTTACGGGATTGATGGCTGCGGGCTCACGACCGTGAGAATTTAGAGTTTAGGAGGTTTGGTCAAGGGCCATAATACAAGTCTTGCCTACGCCAGAAACCGATGCTCACATTGAGACTTTAATAACCCTAAACGGCAAACCCCCCTAAACCCTCAATGTTTTCAATCCCACGATATGTTTACTAAACCCTCGAACCTACAGTACGGCAGCTGATCACCTGGTTTAGGAGATAGAACAAAAACAAAGCACGACGGTCACGTGTGAGCAGGGGGCCATTGATGACCCGTACCTGTTTGTGCCAAGGTCTGTAAAAATTGGTCCGAAGCTCAAACTGCGTAATGACGTAGTGCTGAGTATCGACGGGTCACTATAGTAGCACTCAGATTAGAAGCGAAGACTGGCTAGCAGCTTCCAGGAAGAACTCTCGCCGCTACTTCTTCTGGCGAGTGAAGAGAAGGATGTTGCAGGAGCCGAGCCAGGGGTTCGCACCTTCAACTACACCTATAGTCTCCATTGTAGTTCTCTTTTTGGTTAACCAGTTTTATTGGTGAGGATCCTGTAATAGAGATCTTGGTTAACCAAAAAAAGGAACTACAATGGAGACTATAGGCAAGGTCTGTACCCCCAGACCCTGAGCCCTGCACCCTAAACCTTAACCCACCCTAGGCAATGGGCTTAAACAACTATATACTATGTTAGGGGTTCCTTATGATATTTATGGTAATTACAATATATCACCAAACCCTATTCAAGATAGTTACGGCCCCTATATTAGACACTGATCCCTGAGCCCTGAACCCTAGTCTCGGACAGTTGAATCGGGCTCGGTGAGGGCTCTAGGCTTGATCGTCTGCGTCCTGAAACCCTGAACCTGAAGAACCTTGAGCTCTGAAGCCAAAGCTCGGACGCCCATCAAGTTTAGATGTTGATATAGGGGCGTATATGAATAACGAGCCGATATTATTTTGTGGGGGTTCATGATTATGAGTATAATATAGTATAATGGACCCCGAAACCCCATTCTAATTATGAAGGCCCCTTTTGTTTCTGTGCAGCAAGTCAGGGTCTAGGCATTAGGGGAAGCCCTCAGGGAAGCTACAGAGAAGCCCTAATCTCTGCACATCTGATGCCTACTAAATGGGGGTTTCCGAAAATAGGGGACCCTAATATAGGACCCTAAATAGTAGGATCCTTATTGTAAGGACCCCCAAATATGGTACCCCTAATTTTCGGAAACTCTCAAATAGGGTTTAGGGTTTAGGGCTGAGGGTTTAGGGCCTCGGTTTAGGGTTTAGGGTTTTAGGGTTTAGGGTTTAGACCGATTAACTCGGGCTAGGGTACTCATCCCCCAAGTTTCTCAGGATTTGCCATGCTGAGGAGGTATCGGACCCCCCTCCCCAGAGACTCTAATACCCCTTAATCAAGGAATATACCTAGGGTTCCTATAAGGGATCTATAGGGCTTAGGGGAGTCTAATACACCTTAATTAAGGAATATACCTTAAATTATAGTAGGATCCATTATATGATTTAGGGAATATTCCTTAATTAAGGGATATTGGAGTCTCTGGGTCAGGAGATTCCTCTGATCCTCGGGTCAAATGCTAGGCACATATCCACTGTATCATTTCAGGCTCTTGGTTGTCTTTGGTTTGCGCTTGTCGCTTCTTTTTATGTATTTGTGGTGTCTTTTATAAGGTCGCCACAATATGTTTTTCCTTTCCTTCTAGTAAGGAAAATGGCGCATCTGACCGCCTATCCCGAGGCTCATGGAAGCTAGAAGGTGCAGGGGTCAAAGCCCGACCCTATGGGTTCAATTTACGCGAAAGTCACTGCTGCTTTGAGGGTTCCGCGGTTTTTTTTTGTGTCGGATTTTCCAGGTGTCTTAAGGGTCCAACACACCCAATAACCAGGTATTTGGGTTTAGAATCGGCTACGCACAGGCCCCATAATAGTTCCTTTTTGGAGTTCATATTTCGAATCCTGTAAGGTAATCCCAACAAGGAACTACTATGGAGCCTTTGGGAAGGACCACATGATCAAGCGCTTGCAGAAAGCCGACCCATCGCTCACTCACAAGGGTGGCGAGGCAGGTGTTTTGGAATGTCGTGATTCAGACACTGAGCTCTGGGACTAAACCCTAAACCCCGAGCCCTATGGGGATTTTCGGTAAGCAAACTGCGAGCTGGAAAAGAAGCGCTGAAAAACACAAGCAAAAACTGAGCCCTAGGCCCTAAACCCTGAGCCCTAAACCCTGAACCCTAAATTCTAAAACCTGAACCCTAAACACTGAATCCTGCACCCTAAACCTAAACCCTGAGATTGGGTTTAGAGCTTTCTGGGTTGCCTGGGCTCCGGGCACTCAATGCAGTGTTGCGGGCGGTTCTGGTGTCGAGGCTCAGAGGGTCGTATAACACTGAAGGCTTACGCGTCCTAGGTATTGCTACAAGGGGTACCTCCCCAAATCTTGTAATTAGTTCCTGATAAAGAAACCCTACATTCTACTAGATGGGTACTTAGGGCCCTTTGGGAAGGCCTGAACCCCAAACACTCAGACCAGAGCGCACAGACCGTCTCGGCTCTAATTGTGACCTACTAGCAGGCACATTTGTCGAGGAGTGCCTTGACGGGGTGTCCCGTTGGATTTGTGGTTTAGCTCGTGGATGCAGATCGTGGCCCTAAGGCTCAAAATAGCCCGAAGGCCTTATGTAGTATGGTCTTTGGGCCCAAAAGCCTTAAAAGATGTGTCCTTAGCGCAAGACATTCGAGTAGCGGGTCCCTGAAGCCCTAACCGACCGCTATGAGCCCTTGATGCTCATGTGCCCTCATCCTACTACAGTTCTTGAGTTATGTGAGTTCTGGGTGAAGGTGAGTTCTTGGCTTATGTGTGTGATGGAAGGGGATACCTGGAGGTTCAGGGGTAACCACGAACCTCCAAGTATGGAGCAATAACTAGGCTGCTAGGGCTTGAACTGCAGGCACTCATCCAGAAGTGGTCCGCTGAGAGCAACGTGGACTTCGCCAGCGATCAGAAGATGGCACGCCCCGCAGTTTCCGCGGAGCTTAGGTCTCCAACGTCAAAAACCCTCCAAGTATACCAGTAGTACCTACTTTGGGGTCCAAAGTCTATACTGTAAATACTAAACACTTTTGGCCGTTTGGAGCCCCGGGAAAGTGTTGTTGCTTGCCTTCTCAGGGGAGGGAGTGGCATGTTCAGAAATCCAGGAAGCCAAAGATCTTTGAGGTTGGTTCTTGTCCCCGTTTGTGATTGTCCGTGCTGTGTTGCGGCTGTACTTCCCTTACAAGTTTAGTCCCTTTAGAGTACATAAGCTATAGTACCATATACACGACCCTACTGCAACCGCGAAGCTCTTTGCCTTGCGTTGTAAAGCCTGTGCCTATCATCCTAACGCCCTGCTCACCGTCGCAAGAAGTCCTGACTTCCGGACTGCTCAGACCTGACATCAGAAGCTGCAGGCCCGACGCAGATGAAGACTATAAGTGGTGATACGGTTTCTTGGTGGTCTAACAGAATATCATAACAATATACGATACTGCAATACTTCCTATAGTCTCCATTGGAATTCCTTTTTTGGTTATCAGTTTTATGGTTAGGACCCTATAGTAGAGATTTTGGTTAGCCAAAAAAAGGAACTACAATGGAGACTATAACTTTGTTCGCATTTTGAGACCGCTACGTTAGACTCTGTCCCCTCCACCCTGCACCCAAACCCTTAAGGACGAAATGCACCCTAAAAGGGTTTAAGGTTCATATACCATATAGGGATTCATAGTATATGGGTATAGGGCCCCTACTTTAAAGGGTCATTTGGTCCTTCAGGACCTCAAACGCCAGAGGGACATACCAGCCCGAAATCCTGGAATCACTTGAGCCTGATGTTTGCTTGTAGTCCAATAAGGCTTGAATTGTGGCTTTGGGTTTAGGGTTTAGTTTTGCAGATTTTTAGGGTTTAGAGTTTAGGATTTTTGGGTTTTAGGGTTTAGTTTGGAGTCGTAGGGTTGAGGGGATGTCGATCAGCTTTCAGGTCAGCTGGCTCGAGTCACAGAACGCCAGGGCCTCGGTGCATGCACTGCAAAGGCTCCATGTACCTTTAGAGTAGATACTTAAGCCTTAAAGGGGTCCCTAAATGGGTACTTTAAGGCCTAAGTATATACTATAAGGGTACATGGAGCCTTAGGGCACTGCAGTGTGCTGGAAAGGCTGTAGCTGCAGGGGACTGTGAGGCCCTAAACCCTCAACCTTCGGTACGGGAAAGTGGGCGTAACAAAAAGCTCTAAACTTCCTAAACCTGAATAAACCGCAAAACAAGTCACAGATTGCTTAAATATCAGGTCCCCTGTAGTCGAATCAGTACCTAGGACTCTTTGGGATATAGGGGGGAACCTACTTGCAAAGGCGGAGTATTGAAATCTCTTTGAGCCATTTTTAGAGGCTTTTGTTTCCTTCTGAGGTTGACGGAGGGAGGGTTTTTTCTGCGAATCGGGGTTTAGGGTTTAGGGGTTTAGGCTTTATTTAGGGGTTAACCTATAGTCTCCATTGTAGTTCCTTTTTTTAGTTTAACCAATTATATAATTAGGATCCTATAATGTAACCCCAAAAAGGAACTACAATGGAGACTATAGTAAGGGGTTTAGGGTTTAGAGTTCCGAAGACCTCGTGAAGCCCTGAAGGATCACTCCCTCAGTTCGTAGATGCCGAGTCCTTGCAAGCCTTACCGAGAGGCTCCATAGTAGTTCCTTGTTGGGGTGCATATGTAGAATCCTATAATGTAATCCCAAAAAGGAGCTGCTATGGAGCCTAAGGGTAATTACACCCGGTTAGGGTGTTAGGCAGGTTCATGGTGTCATTCGCTCAGCTGCTTAAACGATCTACTGTGGGAACCTGATTAAGAAAACCCGGGCCGATAACCCCAAAATAGTAGGATTTCTATAAGGAACCCTAATAAAGGCCCAAGGTTTTAAAATCAGGTTCCTACATTACTCGAGTGCATGTTGCCAAGGTGGATGCGCGCGCGGAGTCCATCCGCGCAGCCTACCTCAAGACTCAGATTCAGGCTCGCGCACCAGTGGTTTCACGAGTTGGCGAGCACCATACTCCCAAGAAACCTATACCTTGTCAAAGACGTATATACTTATAGGAAAACAATAATTACTACGGATCAAATGGGCGGGAGCGTAGAGTTTAAGGGAACGGGCCTAGATTGCAGCGTGTGGTCGGAAGTGCATTCGGGCGATGCCAAACCCCGAAACGTTCAATCCCAGACTCGGAAGCCTCACTTCATCCCTCACTCTCCCTTAAGGACGAAATGCACCCTAAAAGGGTTTAAGGTTCATATACCATATAGGGATTCATAGTATATGGGTATAGGGCCCCTACTTTAAAGGGTCATTTGGTCCTTCAGGTCCCTAGCCCGAAACCCCCTGACTCAAAGCGTAGTACCCTAAAGCCTCAACAGCATCAACCGTGAATCCCTATAAAGCTCTTACCATGAGCTTCTCAGCCTCAGACAAGAGCCGTCTCACATTTTTCAGTAGCTAGGACCTAGAGTAGGCCCTTATTCCCTTATTTTAGGGTTCAGGTTCCCTTATAAGCCCCTTTAACCCAAAAAGGGCACCCTTTTTATTCCTAGGTTACTCTGAGGTCTAGGTAGAGATTGCTACATGGTCGTATAGACACTCCATACTTGACAATGCGAGTATTCAACATACCATTTGCTACATTTATAGTCAACTTATAGTATAGTCTTATAGTCGACTACCAGGGGTTTCCCATGCTGAATATACTGAACATGCTGCTGGTGGATCGGAATCTGCCCCGTCCATCCAGGACTGTTCCAGAGTATTCCAGGCAACCCTAAACCTACCTATAGTCTCCATTGTAGTTGTTTTTTTGGTTAACCAAGATCTCGATTATAGGATCCTAACTATAAAACTGGTTAACCCAAAAAAGGAACTACAATGGATACTATAGGTAAGTAACACAGCCTTTACGGACCCACGAAAGCCCTGAAACCGAAATCTAATTGCATCCTAAGCTCTCCCAACATTCCCAACGTTCTGGGCCCCAAACCTTAAACCCTTAGCCTAAATTACATCCTAAACGTTCCTCAGTTAAACCGTTATGGGCCCCAAACCGCAGGAGCTGTTTAGTCAGCTTCCGGCCGGAGAGCGCAGCGGTCTCCTCTCGAGCCTGAAAGCGTGCCTTGGCCCGCATGGGCGGTTCGTTGAAATCGGAGTTTGGGGGCTTACCGAGAGGCTCCATAGTAGTTCCTTTTTGGGGTGCATATTTAGAATCCTATAATGTAATCCCAAAAAGTAACTACTATGGAGATTAAGGGTAGAGTTGAGGTCAAAGGGCCGAGGGTTGAGAGTCCGGGGTTGGAGGTTGGGGGCTTCGAGTTGAGGGTGGCTTGGGGGTTTATAGGATTTGGGGTTATGGAGTTTAGGCAAAGTTTAGTGCACATTTTTCATGAAGCAGGGTAGATGTAAGGGGTGCAGTGTTTAAAGAGCATGCAGCTGACCGAGGTGCTGCTGAATAAACGGAATAAGCCAGACAAAAGGAAGCGGAAGGAGATCAGGACGGTTTAGGGGTTTGGGTTTATGTCTCGGGGCTTGGAATCCTGGAAGATCTTTGCACTGATTTGCCTGAGAAGCCCAGTCGACTACGTATGCCACTCGCATGCGTGTAGGCGGCCATGCATATGCAGGATCAGAAAACGGTACATGGTTTGCTATTCAGGCACAAACTCTGTAGGCCCAAACCCTACCGAAACTGGACATCGAACGGAAGGGTTCCACTACACTATTTATGTGGGTCTAGGGTGTTTAGGGTTTAGGGTGGGATGCAGCTGTACGAGGTCGCGGTTTGGAGTTTCGTGAGCAATGACGGGTTGTTTTACATGCCGGTAAACCTTGTCAAAATTATGGTCCCTTTTTGGGTACCCTAAATATTAGGTGCCGCATTATATTAAAGACCCAAAAAGGGACCATCATTTTGAGAACTACCCATGTGGCCTGTCGCGTTTAGCAAGGGTGCCTGTAGGTTTCGGATCAATCGGACAACCCTTCGCCCACATACGGATACCTTTGTCCCTTTGTCCCTTGTCGTTGCTAGATCTACCCAAAGAGCCTTTTTGAATGAGTGCGTGTATGTTTTCAACCAGGGTGAGAAGCCATATACAACGTAAGGTACCCTCCTCAAACAAGGGGTATGGGCCTCTCTGGGTAAATAACCAACATGGGGCGCCTGCAGTGAGGAGTCAACCCCCAAGACGCGAATATCCACGGTTTGAAACATGCATACATTCGAAAGACATGAAGCCGCAATATATAGAAGCCTGAATACTCATCGATGTTACTTGCTGGGGTTCGCCACCAAAGATAGAGTAGAATAGAATATGCCACGGAATCCTGCTCTAGTAATAAACGCCTCCGGCTTACCAAAACCCTAAACCCTACCTATAGTCTCCATTGTAGTTCCCTTTTTTGGTTAACCAGTTTTATGGTGAGGATCCTATAATAGAGATCTTGGTTAACCAAAAAAGGAACTACAATGGAGACTATTGATAAGCCCTAAACCTAAGCCCCGACAGCCTAGAGACCTGAATTCGCAAGATCCCGACACGAACCGACTGAGGGTCCCTCTTACCGTCTTGAAGGATTAAAGGGAACTCCAGAAAGTTGGAATATGGTTTCAGGGTAGGTTACCCTATACTTTACCATAAAGGGTTTAGGACAATCATATTCCAACTTTCTGGCTTTTACTTTAGGGTTCAGGGTTTAGGGTTCAGGATATGTCCTGCAATTCCAAACAGCACCCCCTAAACCCCTGAAGCATTAGTGCTTATCGGATTCAGAGTTTGGCCGAATGACACGGTCTTCAGCATGGATCGCCCGCCTTCGTTCCTCAAACTTCAAAAGAACTTGAAGTTCACAGCCGTAGACATAATATATTCACCGATTTATTACATGCGTACATTTACATACATGTATAATATTATATATATATATATGTGTATGTATGTATGTATGTACGTATGTATGTATCTATATATATATATATGTCTGTATAATATACATATATATATATATGTGTGTATATATGTATGTATGTGCATGCGTGCTTATTCATGCAAATGTCTGGACCACAACGTGGAACTCCTATGAGGTGATGGCCCCCCACGAGTTGTGGGATTCTTTCCTTTACAGTTTATAGGCCCGCGGCCTCAGATCAGGATTTAACGCTTTGAGGTTTAGGGTTTAGGGTTTGGGCTTAGGGTTTAGGGTTTAGGGTTAAGTTACTAAACCCTTCAACGGTATGAGGCTTAAGGGCTCAGCTGTTGGTCAGAGCTTCCATGGTTTGGGTTGCAGGGCTTCGGGCTGTCAGGTTTTGTTGGCTCGGCTTAAGGTTTGCCTCTACCCAAAGGCTCCATAGTAGTTCCTTTTCGGGATTACCTTATAGGATTCTATATATGAACCCCAAAAAGGAACTACTATGGAGCCTCCAGGTAGGTGGTTGGGGCAGAGGCTTCGTGGTGCAGGTATTCAGGGTTTTGAGGTTATGATTTGTTGTTGCAGAATGTCAACATTGAAGTCTAAGGTAAGTCTAAGGCTTGTCGGCGGCTGAACGTTTGAGGATGTAGGGTAAAAGCCAGAAAGTTGGAATATGATTATCCTAAACCCTTCTATGGTAAACAATAGGGTATCCTACCATGAAACCATATTCCAACTTTCTGGAGTTCCCTGTAGGTTTTAACGCCAAGAGAAAGTGGCAGATCTGATTTTTTTATCGATGCTGAGGGAGGCTCTGAGCTGGAGGAACCCGGTAGGCTCAACCTTACCCTTAGGCTCTAAGAACTCATATTTTAAGCCTTTCGGGTTTAGGGTTTAGGGGTTTAGGATAGAGGATTTAGGGTGTACTTAGGGTTTAAGGATCTAAGGACTCATATTTTAAGGCTTTTGGGGCCAAAGACCACACTATGTAAGGCTTTTGGGCTATTTCGAGCTTCAGTGTTAGAGATCCCTGTAAAAGGAGCCTAAAACCTACAGGGAACTCCAGAAAGTTGGAATATGGATTAATGGTAGGATCCCCTATAATTTGCCTTAAAGGGGTTACGATAATGATATTCCAACTTTCTGGCTTCTACTGTAGAGATCCCTGTAAAAGGAGCCTTGTCTAACTTTGAACTAATTAACTGTTCAACCCTATAGAAATTTCATATTGTAACCGACAATTCGACAGCCAACCGCTGCACACCCCAAACTCCTACCTACATCTCAAAGTTGCTTCAAGCCAGGATTGAGGGTTTGGGGTTTTGGAAAATCTGCCCAGCAAGTACAGTGTTTCAGTCGGTAGACCCGAAGCCCTGGCATTGTGCTGCTGGTTGTTGACTCGCTCGGGCCTCTGGCAGGTTTATCACCCGAAGTTTGAAAGTCTACCTAGAGTCTCCATTGTAGTTCCCTTTTTTGGTTTAACCAAATATATAATTAGGATCCTATGAGGCAACCCCAAGAAGGAACTACAATGGAGACTATAGGCAGAATTAACGGCCTCACATACTGTATTGTGGTCTCTTGGCCCCAAAACCGCAGATGAGTCCTTAGAGCCTTAGGGTTTAGGGTTTATGGTTGTATGGTCCTGTGAGTGTTGTTCAGTTAGAACACAGGGCCTAGCGTCGAACTCTTCCGCTCCCCTTCGCGTGTGGGGTGGGGTTCTGGGATGCACGATTTGGGAGAATCGTGGGCCCTTATTAAAGCAGGGAACCACCAGTATTAGGGGTATAGATGGGATTGGTTCTCGCTGGCCTCTATCCTAAAGCCGACACGCTAAACCCGATACTGGTTAAGGCAGTCTGGGGAGCAGCACAGATGGCAGATCCTACTTAGGGAGTAGCCCTGCGTAATCATACCGAGCAGTTTCCTGTAAAGTTTGTGTGCAGCGGTAGGAGCCACGGTTTAGGGTCGAGGGTTTAACTGTTATATATATATGTATATATATATATATATATATCTGTAGATTTAGCATTTAGGGTTTACGGTTTAGGGCGGGTTCAGGCCCAAAGAAGGATCATTCAAGGCTGGTGCTGGGCCAGCAGATGTCTGCTGAGGTAGATGAACGAAGTCACTCGAGTCGACCGACAAATGTGACGGCGATGTTTTTTCTTACAGATCTGGCTAGAAAGTGTGCTGTGCAGCACGGCGACCCGCCCGTTCGCAACTAGGCACAATGCAACAGCTTGAGCATTCTACGACTAAGCCAAACCTCCCTTATGATCTCTGGCTGTGACATCCGTGCAGGATCCGTGGCCAAACTAGCGTGGCAAAGGTCCTTCTCTCTAGCGGGATGCATTGGCGCGAATCGGCGCCTAATTTGCAGCTTGCGCTGATTCATTTCTTGTGGCCATTGGCCATTGGCAGCCCGATCGTGTAGGCTTGTACAAAGCTTCTGTGTGGCTCACCTAGACCATTCCTCCCGACCTCGCGCGACAGAAACAAGCCGCGGGAACCCTACACCCTAAAACACTAAATTAAATGCCAATATATGCCAACTAGTACTACCCGCAAGCCCATCTAAAGCTAAAGCTCTCAGCCAGAAGCCCTATATTCTCTGTTTCCTAAGCGTTAGGTACCATCGTGCCATTCCGAACTGTAGTTTTGCATCGCAGCTTGCGTAGGAGTTTGTATGGTCGTGTACAGTCATCATGTTGTGTACTATATACCGCTGACTATTGTGCCCAAGCCCTCTGAGTAAAAGGTTAGCGCGACCGCTCATGGCTTAACGGTTTTGGTGTATTCTATAGGTTATCAGCCGTATTCGCTGACTTTGTCTCCGTGGTATTCTTACACTGGTATTCACACTGGTACATGAGCACTTCGCCCTCCCTGCTCACTACTGAAAAGGGAGAAACAACCGAAGTATCATCGGACGAGATGGACGACGAAACAAGAGATCGACTGCTTGATGAACAACTCACAGCAGCTGGCGCGGGCCCTACGGCACCGAGCTCAGGATCCCAAGCACTTGATAGGATCTTCGGTCCAGTGGGTCCTACCCTATCTCCATTTGTCTCAAATCCAACGGTCGACATCTCAAACGTACAGTATACCTTGTACAATGTTGTGAACCAGGGTGAAACAGCCGAACAACAAAGAATGGCAATAGAGCGAACGGAGGCAGATGCTGAAAGAAGACACGCAAGCATTCTGAACCAACAATCGCATGATAATCTTGTGAGAATGGCTGGCATGGCTGAACAGGCCGAGCGCCTTCATGAGGTGAAGATGGCAGAATGCGAAGCACAGTTTGCGGAATTTGAGTTCAACGCATCCCAAAGGGAAAAGTTTTTGTTGAACGAAGTTGCAACATGCAGGAATGAAATGAACATTCTGGAATCAATTTTCCAACAACGACATCAGTCGGAAATCGCCAAGCTCAGAACTACTCTGATTGCTGAGAGCGAACGCAACAAAGCACAACATCTTGATTTTCTTGGAATGCGATTCAAACAAGTTCTTGAAGAAACCGAAGCGAGTATGGAACGGCGTTTCATTACTGAAATCGCTGAAATGAGTGCACAAAACGACAGACTGCAGGATGAACTGGCTGCCGCAGAACGAGCCCTAAGAATGGAAGCCAATGCGGACGAAGCGGGCAAACAATATGCCACGCCGAAGCCAGGACCTAATCCTGCTGTCCCGTTCTCAAATCCATTTGAGATTCCCGAGAACATGAAGGACATCTTCGGAAGAACGCCGCAAGCTCAGGAACCTCCGCAAGGAACTTCTGTACCACCTGGGTTTGAGAACAGAGAGCCACAAAAGGAAAAGTCTCCTAAAGCTGCCCAAACGGGTAAGCCGGCGACTGTTGATCCAGACGGGGTTCCACATGTTGATTTCGGAGCTGAGGCATTGATTAGGGCAGCACGCTTGCTTACCCCTAAGACCGAAGATGAAGAGGGCAAACCAAAGGTGAAAGAAGCCGAAAGTATCAAGCTTCCCGATTACCCTAATCCAGAGACCTACCGATCGTGGCGAATCTCGGTCCGCGAGATTGTGCGGGCTGCGAGCGATCGCCCGGATGAGGCATTTCGCTGGGTGCAGGAAGTACATGATAAAGAGGCTACCCTCAAGTCCTTACATGACACTGGGAAATTCTTAACATTGGACACGAAGTTGTTGGCTGCACTTACCAGAGTCGCTAGAGGAGAGATTTCAAGGCAAGTCCTAAACTTCAAAGAAACAGAGGCCACAGGAGGACGTGCCGTCAGGGGAAGACAAGTATTGTGGATGTTTCATCAACACTTTAAGACTAATGAAGAAGTCGGAAGCCTCTATAGCGTAGAAGACCTTTTAAAAGTGAAGTTGGTTGGGGACGACTTGGCTACCTTCCTTTACAACTTCGAGTCGGTGATTGCTGGAATGAGTCATGTTCCGGATGAAGTTACCTTGAGGGACATTTTGCTGAGGGAAATTCGGAAATCCCACCACATCAAGTACGATCTTCAGCTGTACGACAGGGCAAAGGAAGGAAACCCCGTACACACGTATGAATTCCTCGTCAATGCCATTAGGGAGCATCTAACTAGAGAACGGATGCGTAAGAACCGTGACCGCATCGCTAAGTCGCATGGCGATAGATACGGGGCCCCAGCGTACGGATCTGAACGTCGCCCCTCTTCACGAGGAGGCCGTGGAAGAAGCATGTCCCGAAGTAGCTCAAAATCCAGAACAAGCAGCAAAGGATCGAGCCAACGAACACCGCCTAGATCTCAGAGTCCCAAAACACAACAGGTTTGTTACGACTTCCAGAAAGGAAAATGCACAAGAGGCGACAAGTGTAAGTTTCTCCACAAACCAAAGTCAAGATCCCCAAGTCCTCATCGAACGCCTCAAAAGAAGATCAACGCGATTTGCACCTTTTGGAAGAAAGGCAAGTGCAACAAAGGCAAAGACTGTAGGTTCCTGCATCAAGATAAGCCCAATCCAACTGACGCCGCTCCTACTGAGCAGGCCGCCCCTGCGAAGAACGATGAAAAGCCTAGGAGTCCGACCCCGGATCCTAAAGCAAAGAAGGAAAAGAAACAAAGGGGCAGGTCCAAGAGCAAGGAAAAGTCTGGCGGACGCACGGCAGCTTGTTGCATTTCGTATGCGCTGGCAGCTGTGCCCAATGGGC